TCAGAATACTAGCAGATCTGTGTAGATGAACTGTCAGTTCTGTGAACTATGTTTAATATGCAATGAGAGAAGTTTGAATTTCTGATAATGTTATTCAGTCTGATAAATGTATTTATTATCTTTCAAATGATGATGAATACAATTCTTCATAAACAGAATGAAACCTCATGCCTTATATATCTCAATGACATTCTAGTCTTTTCAAACTTATATAATGAATATCTGAAGTATCTTGATAAAGTGCTTCAATCACTCAGGCCTGTAACAGCTCTCTTCATTATCTGTAAGAAATCCCGCTCCTCGCGGATTCTTTACCCCTATTTCTATCTCTCGTGTAATCAATAGGGTTAGCGGCCCTTGGCTACACACAACTATATAGACTGGAGTTTGTGAATACTATTCATAACTCAGCTTGAATGCTATTATACATTTGATCTCTATATTTTATCTTCCTACTGTGAATACTTCTAGTAGTTATCAGTACATATCACATCAAGTTGCAAACACCTGAATAATCACCTGCGAGCACTTATTCTTACATTTCAAGCTCAGTCAGTCAGCAATTGCCTGTTATGACTGAAAGAACTAGAAACTTGCATGCTTCAACCCCTGTGAACTCTACTGCAGGCACTTATTATTATTCTTCAATTATAGATGTATGCAGTCAGAGACTATGACATCTACCTGAGAACTTTTAGTTCTCAGGGTTTTTCCTATGTCTGTAAAGTTAACTATTATACATTCATCAATTTCAGATATGCAAAATCAGAAAATTCCAGTCCAGAATACAAAAACTGTTTACAAATTGCAGTGTTTTAACATCTTTTGATACTTTGAAACCATTTGACAATATCATGACAAAGGAAAAGAGAAAAAGAACACAGTCTCAAAGATAGACACATTAAATAGATAGATAGAAAGAAATTGAAAGGAAAAGATAAAGAAAAAGATAAAGTAAAGAGAGACTATAACAAAACAAATTATTAAAAGAGAGTGTATAGCTGTTTCAACAGACTATATCTGATTGATTTTCTCCTCTTCATATTCAGATAATTCTGAATTTAGTCATTTTCTTATAGCTGCTTGAGTTTCTGATAGAAAGTCTATTAAGTATTTAATTCCTGTCTCAGTTGAGAATAAGAATCTCATATTTAATTGATTTAGATCATACTTCTCTTTTAATCTGGCTCTGAGACTATTGTATAATGCACAGTGCATTACAATATGCTCAGAATTCTCATTTGTATTGCAGAATGAGCATTCTATTGAGTCAAATCTATCATCAAATCTTTGTATATAAGATTTGAAATAGCCATGTTCTAGTTTCAGCTGTATTATAGATGAGAATATTTTCTTTTTACATTTAATTGAACAAGATTTTCACTTGGGTTTTGTTTCAAATCTTGAATAATGTATACTCTTCTTTTGTTTCTGCCAGCTTTTATTTCACTTGTCTAAACAAGATTCTTTTATTTTTCTCTTTATACAAGACCAGGACATAATTTTTTGAATAGATCTGCTTAATTCTGCACTCTTTTTTGCAGCTGAATCAGCCAATTCATTGCCATGAATATTCATATGAGCAGGAACTCAGTACAGATGTATTATCAGCTTTGATATTCTTCTCTTTTGAATTTTCAAAACAGAGTTTAAGATCAGTTCAAGATTCATTTGATCATTATGAATCTGACTATTTCTAAGTCTTTTTAAAGCAGCTTGACTATCAGAGAATATCCATGCCTCTTTCAAACTATTTCCTCTTTTATGAGATTTTATTTCTATGAGTTTGAAAGCTTTCACTATTGCAAATAGTTCAGCATCAAAGACTTCAGATTCACAGCCTAGATTTCAGAAATCTGAGATAAAATTGATATTATCTTCAGTATAAGCAATGCCTACACCTAATCTATTCAGGTTCTCATTTTTTGAGTCATCTGAATAAATCAGAATAGAGTCTTTTATATTGATTGTAGAAATTCTCTTCAAATGCTGTTCATATTCTTTCTCTTTTGATAGTTCACTTATTTGTAAGTCTATAAGAGATTCAAGCTTTTCTCTCCAGGGAGATAACTTCTCATGATTCACTTTTTCAACATTTAAAGAAGAAAATTGATTTTTAATCAGAGAGCATAGTCTGTAAAGTCGAGAAGGCATTTTCTTTGAAGAATCATTTTCATTTCAATCAAGAAATCTATTCCAATCCAGTTCATTTCCAGAGTTAATTGATGGAAATGAAGAAGAGACTCTTTCTCTGATTATATGATTTGAGCTCATCTTTATAACTCTCAGTGTATAGTTCATACAGGCCTTTTCAAATCTAATAGCAGGAGGGGGAATTGAAGCTTCAATTTCCATTGCTTTAATAGGAGATGATTTGAATGCTTCTAGAATTCTTCTCAAGGCTCTGTTTTGCAGACTTTGAAAGAGTTCAGTGAAATTTCCTTGATTATTTCATCAAACTTAAACTTCATAATCAGCTACTGATGTAATACAGGCTATATATAACTGTCTCATAGCCTGGAAGAATAGACCTCTCTCTGTATTTGATAGTCTGATTATGTTGTTCAATAGTCTTTCTGCCTTGACAGTTCTTTGTTGAATGTGATATTTAAAATTCAACTTGGAGTTTAACCATACTCCTAATCATTTGACATTTACACTGGGTTTAATCTCTCTATTTAAAAGAGTTAGAGATAGTTCTTTCTCATTGAATCTAGGAAAGAAATGAATTAACTCAGTTTTATTCATATCAAATTGAATTTGATTGATATCTGCTCTAACAAAGATTTCCTTTGCAGCTTCTTCAATTACTTTCAAATTCTCTTTGATAGTTTTTGAGCTGTAGACTAGATCAATATCATTCACATAACTCGGAGATTGCACTATTCTCATATTTCTATTTTTGAATAGATATGCAGTGTATATTGCAAATAAAATGGGTGAGATTGGAGATCCCTGTGGTACTTCTATTTTTATCTCAGTCTTGTCTTATTTCATTCCATCAAAGAAGAGTTGTATAATTCTTTTAGATATAAAACAGTTAACTCATTTTATTAGAGAAAGTGGCAGTTTTAATATCTTCAATGTCTGAATTAACTTTGACTTTGAAACATGATCAAATGCTTCTTTTATATCAATAAAAACTGCAGTTGAGACCAGACTCTCATGCTTTGCTATTTGAATATCATGAACAACTGAGAGAACAGTGTCAATTGCAGAACACTGTTTTTTACCTCTCATTTATTCACTGAATAAAAGAGAATCACCTATAGAGCTTATAAAAGATAGTTGAGTAGCTATTATCTTTTCTAAAACCTTTCCTAGGCAGTTCAATAGAGATATTACTCTATATGACTTAGGAATTGAAGTTTTTCTATTAGGTTTTGCAAGAATCACTCCAGTGGCTTCTCTTCAGCATTCAGAATGATATTCATTTTTCAAGAGATTGAAAAAGAGCTCAAAATATTCATTCTTTAAGTAGGAATATGTATTTTGAATAATCAAGTAATTAATTGAATCAGGACCTGCAGCAGTTTTAACAGAACTTGAGAAGATAGCTGACTCTAATTCATCTTGTGTAAGATCAGGCCATTCTCAGTCATTTTCATCAATGTAGTTGAGAAGTGATAAATTCTCTTCCTCTGAATCTGAATCTGAATCTGGTGAGTTCTGAAAGAGAATTCTCATGAAAGCTTGACATTTTTCCTCAAAAGAGTTTGCTGTATATGATTCATTCTGAAACTCATATTCTAAGGCTGGAAGTTTTGCTACACTTCTTGTTTTAGTATAGTTAAAAGCTTTAAAAACTTCCTTCTCTTGTGCTTCTTCAAGAAATTTATTCCAGCAGTCTGTTTTAGCTCTTTTAATATCTGAAAAATATTCATTTCTGACAGCTTTGAACTCTTCATCAGATATTACATCATTCTTTCAATCTCTTCTAGCAGTAGCTAATTCTTTTCTTTTACATGAGATATTCTCATTTCATCAAGGTTTTGAATACTCAGAAGATTTTCTTTTTGGAATATTATCTCTAACACTTGTTAGAATGATAGATGTAATAAGCTTCACTCTATTCTCAAGCATTTCATTTGAGATATCTTGACCAGAATTCCAATATAGCTCATTCTGTCTTTCAGATTTTAACAGTTTTATGCTTTCTTCAACTGCTTTCCAATCAGCTTTTTCAAAGTTATACTGATTAGAGAGAAGAGGATTTTCACTCATTTGTTTTTCACTCAGTTCAATATCAAATTGAATAATCTCATGACCTGATTCTGATGTCTCATTTGAATCAATAAACCAGTTTACAAGTCTTCTTTTCATTAGATTTTGTGACATGAATGTTAGATCTATAATAGACTTCTGTTTCATGCCTTTTCTAAAGAATGTTTGTTGATCAGACTTATTAACCAAATCTATTGAATGCTCAAAGGTTCATTCAATCAGATTATCAGCTCTCACTGCTCTCTTGCATTCTGAATTTCATCAGGGATGATGTGCATTGAAATCTCCTGCAATTATAGAGTTTCTTGATGGAGTTATGTTCAGAAATTCTCTATCAATTGTTCAGATATTGTTATTTTCCTTCAATGACTTTTCATTATAGATATTTATGAGCTGTATAGTATCAAACTCATTTTCTTTATCTATAATATCACCCACCAGAATATCAGGGTCAGACATGATATCAAATCTTAGATTAAATTGATATCTTGATCTCTTTCTTCCATAGATCACTACTCTTGACTTTATCTCAGACTTTTGAGGTAAAAAGCAGTAGTAGCTTGAATGAGAAATGACATATTTTTGCTCAGCATCAAAATTCGGCTCCTGAAGCAGTACAAAATCAACTTTTTGTTCAAATGCAATTTGAAGACAAGAATAAATGCAATTTGAGTTTCTATTCACATTATTTTGAATAAATGTGATTTTTGAAGAGTTTTTAAACTTTTTTTGTTGTTTTTGTTGTATATTCATACTAAAAGAGAGTAGAGAAGAATCTAATCACTATCATCAGATAGTAGATTATAACTGTTCTGAAAAGTAGAAATCTCAACTGCTTGCATTATATCTAGTTTATCATCAGAGTCATTTCTCAATTCTCTAATCTTAACAGGAGTTTGAGGATTCAAATTCTGTTTACATTTTGCTGGAGAATTGAAGTTTGAAGACTTAGATAATTGAGAGTTTCTTCTTTTTGAGCTTGCAGTTGTGAGTTTACTGGCTTGACTCTTCTCTTCAGTTCTAGATTGACTTTGAGCTTCATCTTTTCTCCAGTTCTTTTGAGTTCTAGGAGCAAACATACATTCTTTTGAGCTAGATGCATGTTTTTCTTTGCAATTAGAGCACTTAAGCAGAGTATGTTGACAAATTTCACCTCTTTTTGAGCATGTTTCACATTTATGCTCACTAGTTTTGTGATCTCTGGCACAGAATGCACATTTTGAGTCTCTAAAACATGAGATTGCAAAGTGTCCATATCTTTGACAGTTTGAACACTGTGTTTGAGCTTTGACATTCATTCTTGAGTCTTTGTATTCATGAACTCTCATTTTCAAACCTGCTACTCTTACTTCAGAGATCTTTGACTGTTCAAGTGTTTTTGTATATACTAGAACAGAGGCATTTCTCCTGCTTTGTCTGAACTCAATTGAATTTAGTCATACAGGCTCCTTTCTCAGTTGAATGGAGTTGTATTCTTTCAATTCATTTTTGAGAAGTAGCATTCCTTCTTCACAGTCAAAAATTTCAACTGGAATATCATGAAGAATGAATTTGCCTCACTTTTCATCTCTTTCAGATAGAATTGTTGTGTTTAGCAATGATTCTACTGCTGACTTCCAGAGATTCTCATTCTGAATAAGGAATTCAGCACTGAATTCAGGCATTGTAGTCAGAATAATAGAGTTTCCAAAGAATGATGACTCAATTGAAGCTATAACTGGTTTTTGAACTTCAATATCAGTCATCAACTGAGAAAAGAACTGCTGATTAATTTCATTTCTGATTCTGAAAATGAGATTTGAGTTTAGCTTGTTTCTTTGCAGAATGTCCTGGTTTGAGACTTTGAGAATGAGTCTTCTATTTCTAGAGATTTGGAAGTTTTTCTCTTTTTGCATTTTCTTTTCCACTTTTCTATGAATAGAGGCATGAGCAGTATTCTTCTCAGTTTTCTCAGGATTTTGAGCAGGTTTTGAGACAGCAGGTTTAGAGACAGCAGATTCAGCTGCTTGAGCATATGTTTTCTTCTGATTCAAAGAAGAAGAAGAAGTAGGAAGAAAGGAAGAAGAAGAGTAAGATGAAGAGTCAGTGATTGTACTAGGAATTTTCAAGGTTTTTTGAACTGTGTTTGAGATTCCAAGTTTGAACTTGATCACCTCCTGTAGTTGTCTGGCCTGAGCATGAAGAATTAACAGAACTTCTTCATTCATCTCACTCAGACACTGCTTTCCAAGAATCTTGCTTGCTTTTTCAAGTTCCTGTATTTCAAGAACTTGTTGTTTCTCTATTTCTTCTTTCTTTCTTCTCTTCAGAATTTCAATCTCAGGAATAGCATTTGAGAAAGCATCTTTTTCCACATCAACTGAGTGTATTTTTGAACTCATTGTTTTCACTCAATGAAAAGTTGGTCAGACTGTTTCAATTGAGATATTTCTAAGTCTGTTTTCAATTGAAAAGTTGGTCAGACTGTTTCAAAAGAAGAATAAAAGACTTTTGTGTATAAAACACCTGATTTTTTTCACACTAGTTCAGTAACTAGGTTAGATTTTTGAAGAGAATCTAATAAACTAAAATTGATTTTTAAGATAAATCAATAAAATCTTTACAATCTCTTTCTTGGGATACAGTGAGGAAAAGTATGATATCAATTGATAATAAATCAGATGATATGACAGTTTTTGAGAGAAAAACTGACAAAAAATAAATCAATTTTTTGCAGAGAAATTGATTAAAACTATTCAATTTTATTCTAAATCATCCAATTCTCCTCACACAACAAGTGTGCAACTCAAATCAGTTAATAAAGAGTGTAAAAAAGAATTAAGTATTAATGAAAGCTCTTCAGCCACTGAAAAAGTAATTCTTACTTAAAAGAATATGAAATTATGACAGAAAACAACTCTGTTTTTAATTCTTTGTAAGAATATTGTGTAAAACCCAGAGAAAAACACCTTACTTTTTCAAGAGAAGTAAAAAACTATTTCTAAGATCTTTTTTTTTTTGCATTAACTGCTGCAGAAGAATGAGATAGAAACTGCTAAGATATGCACTACTGTATACCTCCTACCAAGACTTTCCCTCTTCAGGGTCTTGATATTATAGAGAATATAAGTCTGTTTCTATATGATAATATAAATATTGCCAGCGGGATGTAGAGGAACTGGTTATTTATATCTCAAAATAGAAGACTTTGTCAATGATTATATCAATATAGAGTTAATTCTCAAATTCAATAGAAACCTAGTGTTGCTGTTCTCAATCCCTTGCAGAATCTATTGAATATTGAGATATTAAAACTAGATTTAATATATCTCACTGTGCAGGGATCAAAGGCTCAGTCAGACCTTGGGGTATACTGATTTTATAGTTGTTGGTGTGCTGTTGACTCGTTGTCCACTGGTTATGTATTGAATACTGTTGCCGAGGTATCTTTTTGTATCGTTCTGCTGGGGATGGGCCAGATTGAGAGGGGTAGTACAGGGGTGAGACTTGGTGTTGAAGTCTAGATACACTGGCGGCGGACCGTGGAGGTTGCACTTCAGAAGAGTCCGTTGATTATGTGCTTGATATTATCGCCGAGGTATCTTTTTGTATTTTTCTGCCGGGGATGGGCCAGATTGGGAAGGGCGGTACGAGGGTGAGACTTGGCGTTGGTGTTTTGGAACATCAAAGATGGACAGGGTTTTCGCGGAGGTCGCTCCTCGGATATCTCCACAACTACAGGTCGGGGGTCTTCCAAAATCGAGAAGATTGGTGCATATGGCTAGGTCACTTCACCTTACAATTTGTATGGCACTCTGGCCCGGGGTTGTGGTGTGGTAGGGGAGAACGGGGGATAATCCCACACAGGAGCTTCGAACAACGTCCGGTTCACGTTTGGCTGGATAACTCCACCACCACACGGGGTATGCGGTCGGCGATGGGGTCAAAATGCTCGTATGATCGAGGGCTTTTCGATGGATCTATCGGCGGGTTCTTATTCGAAAAATCGAGCGAGTTCGACTTGAACTGAGTGTTATAAAGAGATTGACTGAAGAGTCTCTCAATCTCTTATAAGAGAAGAGAAAAAAGAGATAAAAGAAGCCTGTATAACTACTCTCTATAACACTGAGAGTTAACACTCTGAGAATCTCTGTGAGAATTCTTGAAGAGAGTATCTATAATCTGAAGAGTTTGCAGACTTTGAGAAGTACTGTTCTGACTATTCTGTAGAATCACTCACAGTGTAAGCAAATCTCTCTAGAGTAGTATAAATATCTCAGATCTGTCTGCAGAATCTCATCTTCTTTTTTCTTTTTCTGTAACAGCTCTTATAAACTGTGAGTATTCTCATTCATCTGTGAAGTGTTTTCACTCAGATGATAGAGAGAGAGTGTTCCTGACAATGTCTGTATATTGATTCAAGAACTTCTCAAGAATAAAATTTTTTTCAATTTCAATATCTTTATAAACAATGTCTGATCACTGCTGAGCTTCTTGTGAGTGTTTCTGCAACTTCTCTAGTCACTTTTTGCCAGCTGATGAAGCAGGGGCGCTGCCACTCATGACCATGCCTTCATCTCTCTCAGCCTTGTCACTGCACCCGATCTTCGGGCCAGCGGTCAACCTCATGTCTTTCTCAGGTCAGTCCCTGACTTCAAGCAGTGCAGTCTCTCTCTTTGCTGTAAATCTTCTCATAAGTAATTTCTTACAGACTCTAGCTGACAGTTCTTACAAAGCTCTCAGTGTTGTCAGTGTCTTCTACAGTCTTGTGAGTCTATGATCACCTTCTCTCTGCTCACACAATCTCTGATCAGGTATATGTCAATATATCTAGGTTCTCTATCAATGATTCTCACACTGTAGTGCATTTCTGCAATCTCATTGTCAATGAGAGATGAGTTCTCAGATACCTGCAAAATCTGAGTAATCAAGACAATGTGAATATTATGAATTCATGATAAGAGTTAATCTGAATAGATGAGCTTTCTCTTCATATCTTAATTATTTCTGAGCTGAATACTTCAGTACAACTGAGAAAGTAAACACAGCTTTGTGAGAGATATCTGATCACATACATAGACAGTCAGCTCTCAAGGCTCTGCTGCAACTACATATATTCTGATATTCAGCTTCTCTGAAGTCTGTGCATTTCTGACAGTCTTCACATCAAATGCAATAATTATCTGTATCACAGACATGATACTCTCTGCTTCTTTGAAGAAGGAAATTAATAGTTATGAGAAGATTGAGTGTTATAGATATTAAGAGTATAAGTTTAAGTTTTCTTTGTTTTTTCTTTGTTAGTCTCTAAATTGTGTTCACAGTTCTGTTTTTATTTTCTTATTTTTTAACTTTTAATGAGAGTATGATTTCTTCTTCTCTTATGTACACTGTGAACTGTTCATCTCAGTAGAAACTCATTATCTTGTAGACTAGAGCTTGTAAATAACAGTGTTAATATCTTTATCACAATCAGATTCTTAGCAAAGATTATGTCATTCTAGCTTATCAGAATTCACAGTATGAAAGTCATGTCTCAGCTTCTACAGATGTCTTATCTACTCAGATAATTCTTAAGTAAACTTATTTATCTTATCAGAATACTCTTATCACTGAATCTTGAATCAGAGCTTGTGATCTTACTTCTCTGAGTTAATAATCTCTTTGACCTGATATTCTCTTTTATTCTCTAATACTTTATAAATAGAGTAATGAGTCACAGAGTTCTCTTCTGAGAATTTCTTATATTTACAGAGTAAAGAGATATGAAAAACATTGTATATCTATAACTCAGATAATAGTTTTAATCTGTAGAACTATGAGCTAACTTTCTTCATAATCTTATAAGACTCTGTTCATAAGAGATTCAGCTTCTTACTAGATCTCTGCATGATAATATTTTCTAGACTTAGTCAGACTCTATTATCTTTCTTAAAACTCTTTATAATATGCTTGAAGTTATAGTATCTCTTCTGATACTCTTGAGTCTTTCTCAAGAATTTGCAGGCTTTCTTCTGAATCTTCTGAATTCTCTCAGCTCATTCACAGACATTATTACACTTTATAGTATACTCTCACAGATCTGTCAAGATCATCTGTGAATAAGTCTCAATAAGCATCTCAAAGAGAGTTTTATCTGTGCTGACATGCTTTGAGTTGTTGTATACAAACTCTGTAAGTGATAATTAATACACTCAGTCATTCTGATTATAATTGACAAAGTATCACAGATACTGTTTTAATATACTTATCAGATATTCTATCTGATCATCTGTCTATTGATAAAAAGCTGTGCTTAGATCTCATGAGATCTTCAGTATAGTTATCAGGTCAGATCAGAACTCTTCTACAAAGATTAATTCTCTGTCTAAGACAATGTTTACAGATAATTCATGCAATCAGATTATATTACAGACAAAGATATAAGTCAAATTCTTTGACTTCAAGTTCTTGCAGATGAGTATAAAGTGTGCTATCTTGATGAAGTAATTCACTATCATCAGCACACTGTCAAAGCAGGTATCATATATGTTCTTGCTTTCAGAGAGACTTACAAGAGCATTCATTTCTAGCTGTTTCCAAGGTTTCTGCAGAATGAGTAGAGAAGTAAGTTCTCTATATAATCTGAACTGCACTATCTGTGAACTCTGATAAACAGGACAAGAATTCACTCTCTTTTTCACAAGTTCTCATATCTTCAGTCAGAAGTATTTTCTTACAAGCAACTCATGAGTTCTAGTATCTGCAAAATGATCTGCTAGAGAAGAGTTATGATATCTTTTAATAAGTTCTATACATAGAAACTTATTCACAGATACATAAATTCAGTTCTCTCTTTACAAGAGATTATTTAAGTCTCTTCAATTCTTTATTTCTGCAGAATTGATCTCTACTGTGAGCAGTTTCTGAATATACTGAGTATATTCATTCTTCAGTTGCAGTTCAGACAATCTGAATAGAAGATCTTGTAAAGACTTATACTCTGTTTCTTCTTACATCAGATCTTTCACAGCACTTCTCAAAGTCTGCAAATTCTTCAGGTTATAGATACTCTCTTCAAGAATTCTCACAGAGATTCTCAGAGTGTTAACTCTCAGTGTTGTAGAGAGTAGTTATACAGGCTTCTTCTCTCTCTCTTCTCTCTTCTCTTATGAGAGATTGAGAGACTCTTCAGTTAATCTCTTTATAACACTCAGTCTGAGCATTCTGTGAAGCTTTTCTGTCTTCTCTAGTCTCTCTGTGTCTGTCACCCTGGCCTTCTTAACATAGTCTGACCTGTGAGAGAGTTTATCTGCTGAGTTCTTAGTTCTCTTGATATATTCTATCTTGAATCAGAACTCACTCAGTCTCTGAGCTCAGTGAATCTACTGTTACAAGAGTTTCTTGATTAAAGCAAACTATTATAAACTGTTATGATCAGTTCTAACAGTAATCACTGTTATAAGACTCTTAAAGTAGTAATATCAGTGATAGAAGAATTTTACTATTATAAGAAGCTTCTGATTATAAATGTTATAGTTGATCTCTGTGAGTTGCATCTTCTGTGAGAAAAAGGTCACTGAAACTCAGTTCTCATTTAACTGTAGTTATGAGACTATTTCTGAAATTGCAAAGAAGAAGGCATCTGTCTTCAATCTGATTAAGAGTAAGAAATCAAAGTGAAATAGTATTACTATATCTGTGAATATCTGTTTCAATCTTACAAAGACCTCATGAGCTTCTGAGATAAGAAAGTTCTCACAGTTCTTTCTTCTTAATAATCTTTTCATTCTCTGTTCATGAGATGACTTTTTCTTATTTTCACTCTTCAGCATGTCTGTAAGAGTCAAGAAGATTCTCATGAATACAAAGATAAACTGTCTATAGAAATTCACAAAGCTCAGAAAGATCTGAATCTCATGAATACTAGTTAACTCTGATTATAATAGAATAGTCTTAACTTATAAAGGTTTCATCTAAATATCATCTGCAGTGATTATATATTCTAGGAAATTAATTCAGTGAGTACTGAAGTTGCACTTTACAAGCTTAATATACAGTTCTGTCTCATCTAAGACCTTCAACACACTTCACACATACTCAGTGTGTTCTTCCTTCTTCATGGAGTACACTATCACATTATTCAGATATATTATCATGAAGACATTCAGATATACATGAAGTGTTTTATTAATGAAAGACTGAAATGCTGCAGAGATATTAGTCAGATTAAAAGACATTACTAGATATTTAAACAATCTCAGTGCAGTTCTAAAGACAGTCTTTCATTCATTTTCAGACTGTATTCACAGTTATATATATACATTGATCACATTCAGTTGTGTGAATATGACAGCTCTCATAAGACAGTTGATCACATTCTCAATCAGAGACAGAGAATAGTGACTCTTTATTATCTTAAAGTTCAGATTATGATAGTCTATACATAATCTGAGATCTTCATTCTTCTTCTTTATAAACATCACAGAGACTCTCACAGAGGTCTGTGAAGATTGAATAAAGTCATTCTTCAGATTCTTCTTCACATAGATCTACAAGATCTCTGTCTCATGATAAGAGAGCTTATAAATTAATTCTCAGAAGAGTTTCTACTCTTCTATCAAATCTATTACCAGATTCTTCTCACAGTAAGAAGAAAGCTCAGCTGTCTTTACTGAGCTGAACATCTCTGTGAGATCTCAGTATTTCTCTGATATCTGAAGCTCAGTTTTCATGACTGTGAGATTCTCAGACACTTATAAAGTCATTACATAGATGAGCTTGTCTTCTCTAATTAACTCTGCAGTATCAACTGATTCTATCTTCATAAGTGAGTCTGTCAACACTGATTAGAAGTATAAACCTGACTCACAGACAGCTATGTACAGATTGTGTCTTTGAAGTCATGTAAGTCTCAAGTACATGTCATCTGTGATGTTCATGATAATTACAGTTTTTGCAAATCTTCTCCAGGTTTCAGAGAGATCTTGCAATTCAAAAGTGATTTTCATAAGTCTCTCAGTTCTCAGATCTGAGTTCTCATGCTCTGCTTATTATAAGAGCAGGTTCTCAGTTTTCATCATTCAGCTCATTCACTTCACAAGTCTTAGAGACACTACAGTGATCTGAAATCCTGAGTTCATCAATACTTCTCATGCTTACAGAGCAGCAGCACTGCAGCACAGTCTCTTTCTATGAGCAAGCATTTTCATTGAGAGAGTAACAGATTCAGGTGTCAGCTTCAAGACTCTTAAGAAGGCTGTTGCTGACTCTGTTCATGACTTCTTAAATTTCTATTTTAATTTGTTCAGACAGTTTGCACAGAGATGTTCTGATTTAGAACAGATGAAGCAGAGTCTCTTTTTCTTAATCTCTCTGTTATACACTCTGTTTACAGAAGCTTGTAAAGCTCTTTCTCTCTACTCAGCAGTCAGACATAAATCTCTCTGTATCTTATTATCTTTTTCTGATAAATCTGTTCTCTGTTATTCTGACCCTTGCAGAGTCAGTCAGTGATTCACTCTTCACAGATCTGTGACTCTCACAGTGATTTGTAAGTGATGAATGAGAGTCATCAGTTTCTTCAGAGTCAAGAGCTTAGAGTCTTACTCAATGAGCTTGTTCTGCATGTCTTTATTCAGCTTCTTTACAAATATTATTATTCAGGTCTTGTTTCAGGGCCCTGTTTTCACAGGTCTCAATTCATATCATAATTCTATAAAGCACTGTGAGTAGTCTTCATCAGATTTCTCATCTCTTTTTCTAATATTAATGATCACAGCTCAGATG